TTACATAAAAATACAACCATATAAAAGTAATTATTAATATAATTTAATTTTACATTAAGAACGAATTTCATGTATATATACGAGTACCATATTAAATTAAATAAACTGATAATAAACTCATATAATATGTTTTACTTTCAAGACAGTCAAAAATACAGAAATTTAATCGTACGTCAATATTCTTTCTATGACGAGTATACATACGTACATCCAATAAATTTTTAATATTACATATTATATTATGAAATTTATATTTTAAACATTTTTTCGCACATTTCTTGCCATTCTTCATTGTAATCTTCAGTTATCTAATATTCATGACTACAAAATTATTCATAGTTATATTCTTAAATTTTTTAAAAAATATAATTAAAATAAACAAAACAAATATAAGGAATTTTTAAAAAAGCTTTAATATATAATTATTTATTCAAGATGATATGAAAATAAAAGAATTATTTCAAGGTAATATGAAAATAAAAGAATCATTACTTTGATAAATATAATTACTGATAAATATAAACGAAATATAACGGTTTTTAATATTGGAATTCGTTTCATTTAAAATTAATATTAATATTAAATATCGTTAAAATTTGATCATTTTTTCAATACTTGATATGTTTAAATAGACTATAGATTTTTAGTTTAATATATTTTAGTATGTTGCTAATATAATGGATATATTTTAGCTATTGGAACAGATAAACCGTTAAAATATTAATTTCTGTTGATACTAGTAGAACTTAAATGACATAGCCTTAAATATATAGTTTTTCGGAAAGAAAGAAGTTTTTAATGAAATTTCTCTATTCAAGATATTCGTTGTGTTTTTTTCTGTCTTGATGGTATTTTATAAAAATAGCTTTCTGTAATTGGAATTTATGCAATTTATCAAATTTTATTTAAAATAAAAACTGTCCTAAGGATCAAAATAATTATATAGAAGAATATCTTCTTATTTACTTTACCGATTTTGAAAATTTCTAAATATATACTTTTCATATTTTTTTAAAATAATAATTACGAATTATAATATTAATATTATTATAATTACAACTTTGATTATTGTAATTTTATTTACCACAAATTCTATTTTTGTATTTTTTCGAAGGACCCGTATTATACTTAAGCTTTCTAAAGATAAATTTAATATAATATTTTTTATAGGATTTATATTAGATCTAAACTCTCTAAAGATAAAAGTTAATATAATATACTAAGACGTCATAAAGTAATCGTATAGCAAGAAAAGATTGTCATTCTGGAATAGAAAGACAAAGATAATAAACTGCATCTCATAGATAATAGAAATCATTATATTATATTAAATATTATATTAAATATTCGTATTTGATTTTAAGTTAATACAATACTTCAATACATTACGAATAAAAAATTAATTTATAAAGATCTAAATTAAAAAAATGTTTAATGTTTATTTTGATATATTATTAGAACCATATTTAGTACATATGTATATATAATCGTTACTTAATATAATAAATAAAAAAATATATAATATAATAAATAAAAATAAAAATAAATATGAATAAAATTCAGAATTTTATTTTTATATATATACTATTTATTTTTTTCTTTTCTAAAAGCTAATTCCTCTTCCAACTAACTTCTTTCGTTACTTAAACAATTTTTTTCAACATGAGAAAACTATATATGTATCGATGAAATAAAATATATGAGATATGGTTGATGATATAAGTACAGAATCGATTGAAAGAGTTTTATGTAATCAATGATGGAGAATATGGAATGTGAAAAAGGCACTCTTATGATTCCTCTGAATAATGTCGAAAAGAGACACAAGTCACAAATGATTAAATCTGCTATATAATAATATTTTTATAAATTATACAAGTTGTGTAGTTGTGGAGAATATTTATAATATTGTGTTTAAAATATGTTTTATTAATGTACTACATGATTGGCAAATATATTTGCGATAATAATATTAAATTATTTGCGCATCTTGAGTTATAGTTACAATTTACATTTTTTGTGTTATCGTCGATAACATTGGAAATGTGATCTCTCTCTTTTGATTTGCTTTCCAATATCCGATAAATCATAGAATCATAATTTTGTTTCTGAATCATGATTCTTCTAATACTTCACATGCTTATAACAATTTAATATTCATTTAAAACAATATCATAATTATATGATATATATCATTAGACAAAAATTTCAGCTGAGACTTATTTATTGTATATTTAATAAATTTTAATTTTTCTTATGAAGCAAGACAAAGACAACGAGCTGGCGATAGAGATAAAGATAAAAAAGAAAATTTATGTGCATAAACCCAAGACTTGTGAAGCAGTCAGATAATCTAGATTTTATTTTCAATAGTTCGGATATTTTCAAGAGTTTAACAATAATCTATAAGCGGATTTATATAGTTCCTTAACGCTTTCCGGATTTTCAATTTAAATAGCAATTATTTTTATAACAACAACTTCACAAATCACAATTGCATATTGTTAGATAATAAGTTATAAAATGACTTGACTAAAACAACAAGAAAGAATAATAAAAGAAATAGGAATAAAATATGTTATATAGATATGACTCGTGGCGATGCCTTTGTTCTACTGTGCTGAGTTCACTATGTCGCGACGCACGACTATTCAAAAAAGGAAAACAAAACAGAATCAAAACCGTAATCGCGTCCAGTGACACCTACTTCATACATAAATATACAAGATATGAGTCGCATATATAAACATATATAACAACATATATAAACATACTTCTTGTGGATCGCGATGAAAACGCAAAGGTTCTGATCTCCACACCCTGTGACGCAATTTCACAATGATCTATTCTTCGAAACGTATCCATCCCTGTAATCTCCCTCTTAGTTTTTATTTCCACAAAAATAAGAATTCGAGGAAAAACTTTCAAAATCCTGTGACAGTTTTCTAGATCAGATCATTAAGAGTAGAAATAGAATTCAGATTAGATAGAATTCAGCAATGATATAGTTTGCATCAAAATATAATTAAAATCATTATAGTCATCAATCAGCTGTAAACAATTAATATAAATCATCATTCGTTCACTCAAAGTTTATAATATAAACGATTATAGAGTCCTAAGCAGTAGGTGGTTCTTCAGTAGAGTAAGAGCAGTTTAGATATTATATTTATGTAATATTTATTCAGTTTAGATTTTAACAATCTATATTGTTAAATTATTTAATAAATAAATCTCAATAACATTTTTATACATTAAATTTTGTGTTTGGTTTGATTTTTAGAATTTTATAAATCTTGTTTGAGAGAATCGTATAATAAATGTATAAAACTGAATCGAACTGATACTGAAAAATCAAATAATTTTTTTTTCTTCAATAATTTTTTTTATATTTTATCTATAAATTATAATAATATTATGAAATGTAATAAATAATCATAAATGATTTTAGCAATATAAATTATTAATTTTCAAAGATTTTTTTTTAGAAGCTTTATCAAAGTTGGCGATGAACTTATTTGTACCAATACAATCAAATAAGTAATTACATTGCTAAAAATCTGAAAAAAAGATAAATTTTTAAGTGAATAAATAAATTATATACTCATTTAACTTACTGCTGTTGATAACTTGTTGTTAAGAACATAACCGCCAACAGTAAATTTTAAAGGATGAAGAAGAAGTTGTAATGAAAATTGTTGAATCTGAAATTATTATTATTTTTAATTTTTGTTCTCTAAAATTTTTATGATTTCTATAAGTGAGGAATATTCGATTTACTTTTTAATATATGAGAGAAAATAATTTATATAATATTCTTTAATATTTTAAACAACTAAAAAAAAAACATTTAAAATAAAACAAAAAAAAATAATAAAACAAATATTTTAAATAAGGTTAAAAAATATATTTTATTTAAATATATAATTATAACACATAAATATATAAAATGCGAAACTTGATTTATAAAAATATTAGAATGGTGTAATATTATCTTTACAGAGGAAGAAGAAAAAATCTAGATGCATGTGGATATATAAAATATTTATAAGAATATGGAATACTTTTGGTGAATTCTAATATCAAAATAACAAAAAAATTCCTATAAATATAAGGCTTATTATTAATATAAGAAATTATAAACATTTTAAATTTATGTTAAATATATTGAAAGAATATAGGTGTGACAGTAGAGTTAAAAGCATTCAATGAGCACCTACCATATTACAGTATCATCTTTATAGGAGCAATAAAACATCAATACAATGAAACAATACAAAACATCTCAATAAAATGATCTTATAACTTCTTAGATATACTAGATATTCTATCAGTAGAATTTTAATATAATTTAATTATAATATAATTTATAATACATATAATTTATCATATGTTTTTAAGTTCATATGTTATTTAAGAAGAATTTACTATGAAGAAGTAAACAAATTTCAGGATATCTATATATATTTTATTTAAATTTATAGTTTATGATTTATCAAATATATTAATAATTTATAGATGTTTTATTTAAATTCAAATATATAAATCGTTAGATGACATTGAATTTGAAATCTACGAAATATTTTGTATTAGAATAATTGAATGCATTTCTCTATAATTATTTATTGTATTATTTTTATTGAATTTTTTAATTTTTAAAATATATATTTTAATACAAATTTTTTTACTCATATATATAAAAAAATCACTAATTATACTTGAATCAATTCGAATTCCATAAATTATTAAACGTGAATTAACTGAAAAATAAAGAATAAATTGTTTTAATTTTGTTTATTTTAAAAAATATTAGTTTATTTAGTTTATTAATTTATAATTATAATTTGTAAATTTTTTAAATATTAATTTATAATTATGATTTATAAATTTTGTTTAGTTAATGAAAAATCCCTGTTTATATTAGATATTATCGAGAAGCAAATTCTAATACATATTTCTATGTATAAAAAAATAGTAAAAATTTGTATTTTTTTGGATTGTGACACAAACAAAAAGATTAAAGTGTTCAAAAATTCATATCTTTCTATAATAATCTTTGTAATTATAACTTATATTGTTCATTGAATTTCTATAGAATATTCATTATAAATATGAATTGAAATGAGATTATCTCAGAATAAAATCAAAAATTATAAAATGAAATAATCTTTAATTTTTACAAAGAAATATTTAAAATAAGCCAAATTTTTTAGATATATAACAATTAATTGTTTTTTTGATTATGTTGTTATATTCTAATCTGTTATTATTATCTATTGTGTTATTATATTATATTATATTAATAAATGCGTTTTAACAAAAAGGAATTTTATTTGATTATATTTTCAAATTTCACTGAAAATAATAAAAAAATTATAAGATATATATATGTAATGCTATAATACTATATTCTAAAAATATATCATAAAAAAAATTATCACCATGCTATGGATTACGAGTAATGAAAAATGATATTATGGAGAAATGTACAAATAGGAAATGAATAACAAAAATATCATCTAATATTACGAAAAAGAACTAACATGACATAATCTTTATTGTTCTATGATTTTTTTGTAAAAGCCATTCTATATGTATATATAGCAAAAAATAAAAATATTAAAAAAGAATCTAATTAAATTTCATTTTTGATTACAAATATTTTAAATAAGAATTGTGTGATAAAAATTTGAATTTGCTTTTAACAAATGTGAATTCAAATAATAATATTTTTAATACTAATATTAATAATTAATTAATAATAACATTGTTTGTATTTATTGATGTTCAGTCAGCGATATAAAGCCAATAGTTATCGTTATGACTTGACAACATTATGCAATCCGTGATTGACTAATGTTTTTTATTAATAACTTTGTTAACAAAGCTGTAACGAAAGTTTTTTTCAAAGGAAATTATGTGAAATTATTTCAAAAATCTTGAGTTAACGAATATTTTTGAGATATCTTATATATATTACAAATATAGTATAAATAGATATTTATTATTACCTCAAAAACTAAGAAATAATCTCAGCTAAAATTTTATATTCGGAATCCAAATTCTTATTCTATTTATCTTTTTCAGTTTGATATTCATACATACTAACTGGATCACATCTTATTATAATCAAACTTGACTTAGTATAATTACAAAAAATCGAAATTACAATGACTAAATGAGCAATATCAGTATCATACTTAATATTAATTATTTATAACAATTTTGATTCCTAGATTATTCTAAAATTATTAAAAAAAATATTCAAGATGATGATTTTTGAAATGTATTTCAAGACTAAAGAGAGAATAGTAAACAGAGAATAAATCGAGAGATAAATATTACAAAATCAATCAAACTAAATTTTGATTTAATTATTTCTTAATGTAATCTTACCTCATTTCTAATGGAATTATCCAAGTAGCAAATGCCTAATTCTCGAAGTAAATGTGCTGTTATTTCTGCCTATAAAAATCTAGCATTATATACATATCAGTATATTAATTCTTCCTTTATAGTGTAAAAAAATATAATCTTACCTCGTAATAGAATTTAGTGCAATAATTATTTATAAAAATAATTTTTACAAAATATAAGACAATCCATATTAAACATATAATAAGTTTTTCATTTGACGATGATAAGTTTATCGATATTAAATAAAAATATGTTTCATAAAGTGAACACAATATTAATGAAAAATCCACTATTAATTTTAATAGAATTTGATAATTATATGCTTGATTAAGCTCACGTGAAAGTTTAAAAATCTCAAAATGAATATACCTTTAAGAGATAAAAAGAGAAAGAAATAGATTAACAGGAATAAAATTATATTAATATCATTTTGTAATCTAATTTATTATCGTTAATAGAAGAAAAGAAAATAATCCAAAATAAATAAAATGTAAAAAAGATAAATAATCTATAAATTTTAATGAAATTTTTTTTTCTCAAAATAAGCATAAATTTTTACAAATTTTCTAATTCATTCAATAAATTACAGTTTTCTAATAATTTAAAAAAAAGAGATTAATCAATTAAAATAAATTAAAATCTTTACATAATGAAAACAGATAGCTCGAGATATAATTTTTAATTATCTTCTATTTGTATTTAAAAATATTACAATAGTAATATAAATTTGAAGTATAAATATTTTCACATTATTCATTTGTTCAAATTTTGCATTTAATTTATAAAATTTTTTCGAATATTTTCGAATATTTCTTCATAAGTACTATTTTTCACTAATATACTGATGTCTGTTGTGATTAAAAGAATTTTTAGTCTTTTATTTTTTCATCTTTAATTTCATCTATAATGACAATTTCTTTTATGAGAAATTCATCTTTAATAGGAGAAGATATTAAAATTTGAAATATAAATTTCTTTGTATTTTTTCTATATAAAATAATTTTTAGAAGTGTTAGATAAAAATGATAACAATTTACTTGCATTAGTCATTAAGATATATAATAATTTATAAGAAGACTTTATGAAATTATTGTAAAAAATTCTTTAGAAATAGAATTTAGAAATAGAAAACTGATTTATAGATTTCGACTTAAATTATCATATCAATCATGGAAGCAATTCGAATATACGATATATATGTTATGATTCAAAAGTTAAATACGTTCTATATAACATTTAATAAATTTAATAAATCTTTAAAAATATTTAAATTTATGTCTTGTGATATTTGAGATTTTTAAAAATTTAAATATTATGCAATTTATTTTATACAATATTTATTAGTTTATATAATATACATACATGTAATATACATATATTAGCTTAAAGTTCAAAAATCTTAAAACATATTAAATTAATATTATTATAAAATTAATAAAATATATATTAATAAATTTATTAAATAAAATATTAATAGATTAATAAAATATATGTATATATATTAAATATATTATAACAATAAATAATGAAATAAAATTTAATATCAATGATAAAAAAAAGATTTTTAATGATAAATTAAAAGAAAAATTGATTATAATATGTAATCGCTTGATTACATGTTGCTATTAATTTGCAATTATTAGGCATAAAAAAATAGGATATTAAAAATATCTGAAGCATTATCTGAAGCTATCTATCTTTCTTTTATATCAATAATGTTATAAAATATATTAAAATAAATTACAAATATTACGAAATCAATAATATTAATAATATTACGAAATTATAAAATTCTACAGATTGGTGTAATATTATCAAATATTATACCTTGCAATTTGAAGAAGATGTTGAACAAAATGTTTTTTACTATAATAATCCATTATAATTATAAATTTACGTGCAATAAATGATTGTATCTTATATCTCATATTAATATCATTTGTATTTGATAGCTGATATATTTCTTTTATAATTTTATTCATTTTATGCAATTTGTCCTGTAAAATACTTAAAAAAATTTAAATAATATGATTTTGAAAGAAATAAAATGCTATAACTAATATTATAAACTCATCCATTTTTATAACTTTATATATATATTTCTATAATGTGATATGCAAGAAAAATGAAAAAATGAAAAAAATAAAAAATATTTTTTTATAAATTTGACAAAAAAGAGAATATTCTTTTTAAATTATATTTTAATCTATGCAAAAATGTAAACTCAATGCGTAATAATTTTAATACTATATTTTAATTATAATATTTATTAATTTTTTTATAATATTTAGTTAATTATAATTTTATTTTTTATTATTTATGATCAAGTGATCACAAATATTTATAATAAGATGATTTGGACTCAATTCAAATTATCGATTTGTTCTCAGTTCGATCATATTTTTTTTAATCTATGTTGTATGCTCAATTATATTAGTATGTTCTTTATTATGGCAACACGATAAAATTTAATTTAATAAAATTTTATTACAATTGCAGTTTTTGTTCAAAAATTTTATCTTATTTTAAATTTTTTTTTATAATTGATATTGATTTTTTATGATTGATTATATTTATATTGTTTATGAAATTATTACTTTACAATGACAATTATAAATTATAAAAATCATTAGTTTTTATTCATTCGATTCATTCATTTAAAAATAAAAATATTCATCATACTAAAATTTTATCTAATTCATTAATAAATATAATATATATATATGGTATTATCTATCGATATAGAAATTGGAGAAAAAATTTTAATAATTTACTTGTTCACTATTATAATATTGTAGTGGTGAATTGTTAATTGTTAAGCATGTATACATGTATCGAACACTTTTTCAATTCTATATATGCATATTTGTGTGTGTAAAAGGTGCTTATGCCCGTTTCTATTTTCTTAACGATGAGTTGTATTAATGTGATACGTGTGTTTATACGAGAACTGTCTTTCACAATGTCATGATAGATGATCGTGTCACATCTCGATATATAATTACAAAGAAATTATCTATTTGCTGTATTCGGCAATCAGAATACAATGTGTTCACAACGAGCATTAAGAGCATTAAGAGCTGCTTAGACTTTTCTTCTAAATGAAATTCATATTTTCAAAAAATCCAAATTCAATTGGAAGGATCATGGCTTCTCAGAAGAGCATGATAATAACTAATAATATCGCGGTAGTGCCTAACTCGCGACATTTCCAAGTTAGAGGAAAATTTCTCGAATTAGAATGATATTAGTTGCTGTTGAGTCAGCCGTATTTAGAATATGACGTTGGGATCATATCAGCCAGGCTGAAATGTATCAAAAATATATAATAAGTATCGAATAAATTCTACTCAAAAACAGCAATTTTCTTCAATATCATCTTTTATTTAGACTTAATAGAGATTGGTAATGATAATAGAAAAGAATAGAAAAGAAAATCCTCTACGAGGAATTTCTCCAAATAAGTATAAAGCTGTTCATAAATATCGCGAGCAAATGTTATATATAATAATACTAAAAATAATATTATTAATTAAATGATTAATAATAAATTAAAAGATCTTGCTTTAATAAAATATTGTTTTTAAAACTTTTTATACTTATTTGGATGTAATTAAATTAAGACATTAAATAAAGTTTATTTTATTATCTCTGTTCAAGAAAATTTTACAAATTTTGTATCATTATTTATTTCTGATTTTTTATTCCTGATTATAAACATATTTTTGAAGAATAGAAATTAGATTATCGATCAAAATTTACTTTAGAAGTTCAATTTTTTTAAAAACATTTTTTGCTGAGAGTATTAAAGCAAATTTTTTTCTTATATTTTATCAATATTATGATCGATAACAAATAGCTATATAATTGAATTGATTTAATGTGAAATGTGATCCCAATCTTGTGAGAAAGTATTCATTCTAAAAATTTTAAATATCAAATATTTTTATAAAAAATAAAATTATAGAAATATTATAAAACGAAGTCAAAATATATTCAAAAATATATGAGGAAATATTTATAAATATTATATATATCAATGAAATGGACCATATGCAATTATTATTGGCATGATTTAAGAAAATAAAAAAAATCATGTTACAAAAATTTTTGAAATTTAATTATTCATATTGCAACTTCTTAAAAGATTTGAGTTATATTTTAAATTTAATCAATTTAACAAATATTATAAAAATATTCAATCATTTATAATATTCAAAATAAAAAAACTATTTTTTTGAAATAGTTCTTGTATCACTGTAATATTAGATTTTATTAATGTTTATTAAAAGAGTTTAAGTTTTTTTTAAACTAAATTTTAATTAATTATCATGGTTATTAAATCTCTTCGATACTATTGAAAATTTTACATTTTGAAAAAATATTTATTAATTATTTTAATATTTATATTAAAAGATTTATTATTAAAAGAAGCTAAAAAATAATCATATTGCAAAAATTAAAAAAATATGTAGAATTTTTTTTGAATTTACAAAAAAAAGAAATCTAAATAATCTAATTATCAATGTTTATGATTGCTTGATCAAAAGTAGAAGAAAATTAACTAAAAATTAAATATAAGGATATTAAATATACATTTATCGCAGTGTAAAATACAACTAATGCAATAAAATTCAATAACAAAATTTTTTTTTTTTAACTTTACAGAACAAAAATGTTTCTTTCTACATTATAAAAATACCTAAGAATTTTTTAATCTTTATTAATTTTTATAAAAAATATAAAAGTATAGATGAGTTTATAATTACTTAAAATTTTATACAATATAAAAAAATAACTATATAAAGCATAATTATATATTTATAGCATAATTCTGAATCGGTGAAAATCTGTAAATGAAAGTATAAAAAAATAATTTTTGATTTATTAAAATATATGTAAAATTTAAGATCAATTTTTTTTTTATTGTATCATGTATTCATTTCAGAGATAAAAAATCTAAAGAATCCACATATCAAAATCAATCTCCTCTTCTGATCGCTCACAATGATAGAACGAAAATACGAAAAAGAAAAATTAAATATATTTAAAAAAAGACATTGGTCATGAACGAAGTATCTCCAAAAAATTTATTTCATAAATTAGATTATATATTTTACTATTTTATTTCCTGCTAGATTATGCTCTTTACTTATATTTTCGATAAATTTTTCTTAGAATAGCTTTCTTTCTTTTTGTTTTCTTTCTCAATATTCTGTTTTTCTTTTTCAATATTTAAACAATACTGAACGCATTTCTAAAAATCTATATATATATTATATATATATATAGATTGAAATATATATGTGCATTAATTTAACTGACTAAAGAATATAGAAATGTGCAAATTATGAATTGGAAAACTAATGAAAATTTTAAATTCTTTATAAGAGAATGATTAAATTGCAATTCAGAATTCTTTTGATTTTTTTCCTTGTGATAAATAAACAATGCAATAAAAAAATTGTCTTTAAATTTCAAGATTAGCCCATATTTTTATTTATACTAATCTTCACTAATTCAAAGATATAATTCAAAGATAAAATTAATATAATAGTATAATATTCTTTATATTTACTTTCTATGTATCATGTACATAAGCAAGTTTGAGAAAAAAAAAATAGTATGAATAGAAATGAATTTATACTAATATTAATAGAGAATATCAATAATAGTGAAATTATCTACGAAAATCGATATTTTTTAAATTTATCAAATATTAATTTGTTTATCAAATTATAATCTGATATTAATTGTAAATTGTTAATTATAAGTCAATATAAGTTATGGAAAATTCATTTCAAATTCATCAAATAATAATAATTACAGATTTTTAAAGAAATTTGATTTTAAATTTAGAAATATCTATTTTTTTTTATTCAATAAATTTTAAGTTTATGAGCATTTCTTTCTTTATATAATTTACCTTATAAATACGGTAAAAGTAAAAATTCCCAAATACATAATTATTATTGGTACATACAGAAGAATATTTAAATGTAATTCTTGTTCATTGAAAATAATGTAATAAAAATCTAGCAAGATAATAATTATTATTATTGCGCTGGATATAATTAATGTTTGTATAACTTGAAGAAAAATTTTTTGATAATCTTTTTCAACACCAAATAATTCTAAAGTATTATCTATTTGTTCACATCTTGCAATAATTTTCCTCGTGCGCTATAAGAAAAAGAAGAAAACTGTAAGAAAATATTAGAAAAATAATATAAGAATGTTAAAATTAACTTTATGTTACATTAAACAAAACAAAATAGAGAAATAGTGAAATTGACGAAGATAAAATTTCTATTTGCGTTTTGTTTCATTTAAAATTAATTTAAATTGTTAGAATTTAACAAATAAATCTTTGATATTTTTATATCAAGTTCTACGTTTATTTTATCAATAATTATATAGAAAAGAATGAGATCACTAAAATGAGAACATTAATATCAAACGGCAGATAGATTATTATATTTTTATATATCATATATTATTTTAATATAATTAATTATAAAAAGTATTTAAAAATGTGAATTTCCATAATATATTCATATATAAAAATCACCAAAATCAATAAGGAAATCTCTTTTCTAAATAATTATCGTATTTTAAATTCTTTAGAATAATATCAACATATTGTTTTATTCTATTATTTAAATTTATGCCAAAACTAATATTTTTTCATATTATTTCATCATATTATTTTATTATATTATTTTATCATATATGGTACATAAATGATCCTCTCATGAAAGAATCCAATCAAATATCTCATATATATCTCATACCTGTTCAAGAAGATTGTTAGTTTTAATCCTGGAGTTATAGTAAATAATAATAAAACTAATTTATTATAAAGTTCGCTATTAACAAAGTTCTATTCTAAAATGATCAAGAGCAAAATTCAAATAGTAATGAAAGTTTAAGTTTATCATTGCATACACAAGATTCTAAAATTCTGTTCGAGATTACAAAGTTCAAGAATTCGAAAAATTCTAAGATCTGTAAAATTTTAATATTCAAAGAATTCGGAGGTTATAATGATTCTGATGTTGAAAAAATTTTAAGATTTAAAAAGTTCTGAAAGAATTCTATCAAAACGTTCATATCCTTTAAAATCCTTTCCATGCTCATTTTGCGAGCTCGCGTCTTTGATGGTATAAATAAGTAGCCAATAACATCGTGGATCAGTTTGATTGAACGACCTGATTGAACGATACCACTAATTTAAGGAAAATTTTTAATCTAAATCTAAGGAGAATTAAATTGAAGGACTATGCTACCTCCAGAATCTGCTATTCTCAGAAAACTGATCCATGAGTGTTTCTAATAATTCTCCAGTAGATTGATGCTGATTATTAAGATTGACATGACTGAAAAATATCATCTGAAGTCCAAGACCACATTTACATTCTAGCCATGTCGAAATATTTCTAACAAATATACAATTTCTCCAAATTCTTCTCATAAAAATAATATTGTCCTTGCAACATTACCTATATTATCTGTTCAATTTTAATAAAGATATTAAATTTCTTGATATTGAAATTTTAAGAGACTAACAACTAACAATTCTCTAACAACAACATTTTATTAACATTTATTTTATGCTTTATAAACAATAAACGTACGATGAATTTTTGTACAGGAAAATTTTTCTTGAATCATATCATAAGTCATCAGATAAATCATAAATCATTTTTCACTTGTTAGTTGAAAATAATTTTTTTTTATAATTATCTTTATTTTAATTTATTTATCAATTATATTATCAATTTTATTTTCCAATTAGATTCGGCTATTATCAAAAGTACAATGAAGTGCTATTATTTGTACATAATTATATTATATAAATTGTACAAATATAGGATTCGTGAATTTGCTTATCATCAATTTGGAAAACTTATGCAATTTGGAAATTTTTCTAAAAATTTTTTTTCAATATTTTAAGTATTTTTTTATTTAGAAATTTTAAATTCGATCATTGTGAGTTATCGAAAAACTAAATATTAATCTCATGAAAAGTTTATAAAAAAAAAAATTATAATATAATATAATATATAATATAAAATATCATTATATTATAATTAGTTCTCTATTGTAACTTTGATTATTGTAATTTAAGTTTAAAATTATTTTATATTTTATAAATTCTAGTAGATTTAAAAACTATTGGATTTGAGATATTATAAAATTATTATAATCTACGAGGAAATAAAGTTTTAATTAATTCATCCATTATACATCTTAATTGCTTGTCATTTGTATTTACATTAATAGAAGATAAATGGCATAAATCTTATATAACTGTGGACATGTACGTATAAAAAAAAGTTTATGCAATAGTAATTTTTTTTTGTAAATTTTTGTAAATATTTTGTAAAAGTTAAACTAAGCGATAGTTTATGAGATTAAAAAAAACACTGTTTAAAATGTTGATTTCTACAAAAATAATTTTAAAAAAAAATTAAAATTAGCAGGGGAATTTCTTTTTTAAATAGATTTCTTATTATCAAAAAATAATTTTTTAAAAATTATTGTAAATAGAAAATTTTTCTTAATAAAATAAATTAATAAATAAATATTTAATAAATTATATAAATTGCACAGAGTTTAATATTTTATTTAAAACATTATCGAAAAAATTAAATTCAAGAACATGAAAAAAGAAGCTTCTCTTTTTAAATGTCCATGTTTAGATTAAATTAATATGATTCTTTTACAAAATTATAAATATCATTCTTTTTTTATAGTTTAATTATCGGCAAAAATTTAATGTTTTTTTAATTTTAAACAGTTAACAAAACAATTTTATAATAAAATTATTTAATATTAATATTAATCATATTATTTATAATATGAGTTATAAAACAACATTTTTAATTTTTTGTAAAATATAGTTTATTTGATAATATATTTTATGTTAACGATATAGTAAGTTATAATATATAATTATATTTTATAATATATATAATATTATATTTACTAAAATAATGATATAATCTAAATATAATAATATAACCTGATAATTATAATCTATGATTAAAACTAATTATAATAATGTACAATTTAAGTTGAATGGATAGATAACAATTTTTTTTTTTGCAAATTTATTTTAAATGAAAAAAAAAACAGATAAAAAATCAATTCAAGAATTAAATTTAGTTTATCTTATTCAATATATTCGATTTACTCTAATATTTTATTTATAAGAATTAATAGTAATATCAATGAAGATAAATAATTATAAAAATTGGGAACGTAAAATGGATATTACTATATATAGGAATTAAAAGTAAAAATTTTCTTCTTTTTTTTTTTATTATGTTTAATTTTCTTATTAGTTTATTATTATATATTATTATAATTAGAAATACAGTTAGAAATAATTATAGTTTAAAAATACTTACGTCTGTATTCATTATTCCAAGAATTATAAAAATTATTACACATATAATATTAATATATGAAATCACTTTAAAACTGAGCTTTTCGTATGCATTCCAATTTTTGTAAGTTGCGTTTTTTATTGCATTTAGAAGTAATATATATGAAATGATGCATATACCAACATATATTATACTCCAGCCATATCGTAATCGTCTTTTTAATTCAAATACACGTAAACCAAATAGCTCATTAACTATAATAATATGTTTTAACGAAGCATATTGACTTTTTGGTGTCCATGCTAAGATTTTTGTTTTAAATGCATCAATTAATGCTTTTAAAAAAACGCATATATTAAAATTTTGATAACTTTATGATTAATAATAATAATTTCCAGAAATTTTTATAAAATTATATAATTATATTATTATAAACTTAATATTACATTATAATGAAATAGTTATATGAAATAAAACAGATTTTTATAAAGTATGTAACTGCAATTTTAAAAGTATTCAATATTATGTTTGCAAATTTATCGAATGAAATTTTTTTTTCAATTCTATAATATCTGATACAATATCTCCATAAATTACATAGAAACACAATTAATATTTGGAATTATAAGTGAAATAAATTTTTTTAACAAAAATAACATTTTTCTATTGTTATTATCATAAAATTTTTTTTTTATTTGTGAAAAAATTCCAAATATACTAATCTATAATTAATATTCTCTTACCTTTCATATTCTATTTAATTTTGTTTATTTAAATAATTATATTTATTATTTAAAAAAATTAATTTATTCTAATATTCTAAATTGTTATATACTATTGCAAATTAAAAGAAATTAAAATAAAAGAATAGGCTTATCTATTTAACCTCTTTTGGATCTTATTTATAATTAATGTGATTAAAGATAATTGTGACATGATCTGAAATTATATTTATAATTATATATTTTCAATATGATTCTTTCTAAGATTAATCGAAGATCGCATATGTCACTTTAATTATTTATCGATAAAGATAATTAAGTAAATTGAAATGAATAATTTTTTTTTAAAGAAAATATTAACTTCGATCGTAATTTTCTTTCAGGTTAATTTTTTATGAGTAATTATACACATTCTAGTCTATTAGATTAATTAGAATGCTTCCCACTAAAATTTCCCACTAAAAATATCATATATGTTTTTAAATATTCTTTTTTTCAATTTGAAGAGCCGTATTCTCTATATGTTTCGATACTTCAATATTTTAAATATTGAAGCATAATAAATAAATAGAAAAAAAATTTATAGAATATAGAAAAATCCATATTAAAAATCTTATAACTTCTCTGTTTCATAAAGCTTCTGACGAGTTAATAATATTAAATAAAAATATATGTTATAAAGTATACAGAGCACTAATGAAAATTGCATTATTAAGACTAATAAAACTTTATATATATATACTTGATTAAATTCACATGAAAGTTTAAGAATCTAAAAATGAATATGCTTTTAATAAATAAAGAAAAGAATGAAATAGCTTAAAATAAAATTATATAATATTATCATTCGCATCAGTCCAGAAATTTATTATCATTTAAGGAGAAAAAGAAATAGTATATGTGTATAATAGATATATAAATAAAATACAAAAAATATAAATAATTTATCAATTTTAATGAATTTTTTATTATTATTAATTTTAATGAAATTTCTCTTTAGAAATGGAACAAGGAAATAAAAGAACTTCCTAATTTATTGTAAACTAAATTTTTTTAAATAATTTAAAAAAAGAGAGATCGATAAATTAAGATTTTTAATCATTTTTTGTATGTTCGCATATACCTAAAAAATCACAATATTAGTATAAATTTATATATTAATATATTTTGATTAGAATTAGATAAAAATTTTTAATGTTTTATTTTTTCATATTTTCTAGAGATAACTTCTTTTATGAAAAAATTCATCCTCAATTAGAGATATAAAAATTTTAGTTTTTTGTATTTCTGAATTTGAAATAGCAAACATTTTTTAGAAATTTTACAAAAAAAAAATGATAATAATTTAATTAAAATCTAATTTTGTATTTTGGTAAGAGATAATATTATGATAGGAAAAACAAAAAATTAAAATCATATTGCAGAAATTAAAAGAATATATAGAATTTATTTGAACAGAAACGATAAAAGAAACTCTAAATAACTTAATTATTAATATTTGTGACTGGTTGATTACAAATAATCAAAAATAATAAAAAAAAAATAAATTAAATTTAAATGTAAAAAAAAAACTAAATACTAAATATAAGAATATTAAAATCATATATTAGCTTTATTACAAATAATTTAAAATGCAATTTTAAAAGAAAAATTTTTTTTCTTTAAATTTATGAGAATTTCTTGATATTTTTTTTTTTCCATATTATGCTATTTTTCTTGCATATCATATTCTAAAAATACGCAAGAGTTTTTCAATTTCTATTTTATTTTTAAAAAATTGTAAAAACATGAATAAATTTATGAATATTTATATTGTTATACATAAATAAAATGGGAAACTAATAAAGTTATGAAATCGAAATTTTTTAAATTTATCAATAATATAATCATTCATTATTAATAATATTATAATAAATTATGAGAATATATAATAAATCATTACATATTTTTAAAACTAAATTCAAAAGTATAATATCTATGTTTCTATTTAATTAAATTTAAATGAATATTTCTCTCTTCGTATGATTTACCTTATAAATGAATACCTTATGATGAATGTCTGTTAATTTTTTCTTTATATTTAAAAAACAAATTAAGAAGAATAATTGAAATTTGAATATTAAAAAAATTATAATATTTGTTATTATTTTGGATTTTGCATGTTCATCAGATACTTTATTTCAATATTTCATCAACATTAAAGCTATTATAATATTAGTTCTTCAATAGTTAAATAACGAATCGATATTATTGGTTTTATCGGTTTTTTTTATAAACTTAGCATATTACTCATTATTAATAAAATCGTTTTTCAATTGACAATATTGTATTAGTACAAAATATTAATATCTTTAAAATACAATATTATTAATATATTATTTTATATATTCATTATAAAACCGTATTAAAATTAATTATTCCTCATTATCCATCATATTTCATTTAACAGTATTAAAATATTATTATTATATAGTATTATATATAGTAATATATAATATAACTGATGTAAGTTGATCTTCTATTAAAGAAATGATAATGAGTGCTACAATATACACAAAGATATTAGAATGTATGATCTTAAAATTTTAAGAGACACTGTCTTCACAACATCATTCTATTCTTTGTTTTATACTTAATAATATAAATAACTTGATATCTAAGTAATGAAAAAATTACTATGCATGAAAACATTTTTTATCATGTCATCAATGATAAGAAATTGAAAGAAATAATCATTGAAAGAAATAATTTCCTTAACAAATAATTTTCTTTTTATAATTTTCCATATCATTCATAGCAAATTTTCAACTAGATTTATTGGTAAAAATATAACGAAGTAATCATTTGTATGTAACAATGTATTAACACAGTTAAGATTTATGAATTTGAATTTTTTTTATCACAATAATTTATATTTTGAAAGTTTTTCCTCTGAAAACTATTTTTCAATATTTTAAATATTTTTTCGACTGGAAAATTCAGATATTGTCCACTTATCAAAAATCCAAATATTGATAATTTATCGAATATTTATGCAAAAATATTTGACATGTATCAAATTATCTAATTGTCGTATTCGGTGGTCAAACTACGACATGATCACCATGAAACTCTATTTCAAATAATGATAGATAATCGTGTTCGACGGTTAGAATACTGTACTACTGTATTCACAAACAAATCCTTTCTTAATTCAATTGGTTACAGTGGGGTACATCAATAACATCGCGATAAGTGGCTGCTCGCGACTCCTTCAAGTTCAAGGAAAATTCCTCGCTTGGATAATGATCTGTATATAAAGATCTTAAGATAAGCGGGAATTGAACAATATAGCTTTTTTTATAGATTTCCTCGAATTAGAATGATGTTATTTGTTGTTGAATCAGTCGTATCCAGAATATGTCACCATTAGGATCGGTTCAACCAGGCTGAAGTATGTCAGAAATATATAAGTATTGACTAAATTCTTAAAAATAATAGTCTTTTCATCATCACCCTTTGTTTAGATTTAATAGAAATCTATGTGCGATAATAACAGAAAAGGATATCTATGAGGGATTTAAACAGAATAAACTGTTTAAAATTGTTAAATTTCGCGATTTTTGTATATCTATAAGCTTAGAGACATTTTGATATCTCTTTTTATGAATATGAAATAGTTAATGCATTCACTAATGGGAGAACTGATAGGAGTCACAATGGCGGAAAAAAGTTGTCAAGATTGCTTTAGAGATATACTAAACAAATAAAGATAAGTAAAAATCACAGTTCGTCCAGCGAATCGCCAATTGGCCAGATTTAATATATAGTAATGAATCTATAAATGATAAATTATATAGCTATATAAGATATTATTGCCGTATTATTTATATTTATAAATATTTATAATATTATATCATTTGTAAATATATTTACAATTATATTTTATATAATTCTTACAATTTTATAGTTATGAAATTCTTCAATGATTTTCTTTTTTAATTTTATAATTTTGAGATCATGAATCATAAATTTATTCGTTGATTTTTTTTAAATGATAAATAATAAAATATTTATTTACAACAATGTTATTGTATAATTATTTAAATTTCCATTATATGAAATAGTATGAACTAATGATACAGATAAAAACAAAGAAAGAAATTAACAGAAACTTAAATTCATAATTTAATAAATAAGTTTTAATAAACATTTTTGTATATCAACTTTTGTGCTTGTTTTGAATTTTAAAAATCTTATTTGAGATAGTTATACAATAAATGTATAAGAACAAATATCAAATCGATTTTTTTTTTAACAATTTTTTTATTATTTTCTTATTTACAAATTACAATGATATGCTAGGAAATCTAATAGATAATTTTAAACTATTTTAATAGTAATAAACTATTATTCTTCAAAGGTCTTGTTTAAAGACTTCATTAAACTTGGCGATGAACTTATTTGTACTGATGCAACCAAATAAGTCATTATACTACTAAAAAACTGAAAAAAAAAGAATAAATTCGTAAGTTAAATAAGTGAATAATCGTTTATTTAACTCACCAATGTTGATAATTTATTATTAAGAATATAACCGCCAGCAGTAAATTTTAAAGGATGAAGAAGAAGTTGCAATGAAAATTGTTGTATCTGAAATTATTCTCGTTATTTTTATTTCTTTTATTTTCTAAACGAGAGATATTGTATTATATATATATTATATAACGAGAGATATTATATATATATTATATTTTATATTTGTGTTTTTTATGAAAAAAATTTTTGAAAAAAATCTGAAAATATTCATATAGCATCTTCTAAACAAAATAAAAAGAAAAACATTCAAACAAAATCAAAAATAAAATATTCTAAATAAGATCAAAATGGAAATAATAATTTATTTAAATATACAATTAACTTAACATATTCATTGTATACTAGAATATACAATCATTAGCATATAAATACAAAAAGTATGAAATATATATTTTCTAAATATTATATAAGTATATAATATTTTAAAAGTAATCAAATATAAATCATACCTTTGAATTTGATCAAAGATTATGTCAAGAATTATAATGATTATAATCCGAATTGTTGCAAATTTATAATTTTCGAAATATTAATACAAAAAATTATTGCTATTATTTCATTAAATTTTGACTATATGATAGAATATATATCAGTGTATAATCATTTATCTACTGTTTCTAAAAATACAATGATTATTATATATATTAACTTCAATCCATTCTTAGAGCTATAGCATATAGCATAATAAAAATAATTACGAAGTTCGCTGTTAACAAATTCAATTAACAAGACGATCAAAAACAAAATCCTAATGACGGTTTATGTTATCAAGAATCGAATCTACAAGTTCGCAAAAAATTCTAAGTTCAAAAGAGGATTTTCGTTCATAAGATACAAAGATTCTGAAAGTTCTAACGGTTCTACTAATTCTCGAAATTCTGGCAGTTCTGATGTTTTGGAAGTTCAAAATGCTGATTCTAAAGCTCTCTCCATATTCATCAATTTGCAGGGGTACATTGTTCAATAACTATAAATTAGCCCCTTGATTGAACAATATTTCCAATCTAAAGAAAATTCCTAGAATGAGTCTGAGGAATTATTCTACTCATAAATCCAGGAACCTGTTCCGCATGTATTTACAGTAATTCTTCTCAAGTAAGATGATATTGAATGCCATCGAAACATGGTTAGAAGTGTGATCTCAAACCCCCATTGACACTCTACCGAAATGCTGAATTATTTCTAAATGCACAAAGCGAAAAGTTATTAAATTTTTCTCTCAAAAACGGCATTATCTTTGCAGCATCACTCTGTGCCATCTGTTCGATGTCTGAACAATGATCGATACTCAAAATATATATATATATAATAAATGAACTAATATCATTACAATTACTTGTTAATATCTTCCCTTTGATATTATCAGTAAGTCTGCGTATAAGATATAACTTTTGAATGATCAAAATTATAATAACTAAATTTACGATATAATATTAACCTTATAATTCACCTATTTTGGATGTTGATTCTATAAACTAATGTGTTTATAGAAATAATAAATAAGAGACAATTGCGTATTAATACATATATTGTTACGACACGCACGTATACACACACATTTTTATTTCTATTTCGGAAACTAATAAAACGAATTTTATATTTAAGATCCTAACCATTCATTTCTTCAAATTTCGATTTGATATACATAAGAATTGGGTTATAGCATATTACAATTAAACAATTTGGATGAAATTTATAATGATCGAAATATTTCGAAAATGATAATGATATTAATATGTTTATTATTTATTTTATATTAGTAACATTATTAATTACAATTTTTATCACTCAAAAGGTATTCTATATTTATTTTTTATATTTATTACTGAAAGATTCATGAAATGTCTCTATGACTAAATATCAAAATTGATAATATTAGTTCATCCATTATATATTTTGTTTGTTTTTTACTTTTATGTGTTTATATAAACAATTGAAAAAATACATGATGCATATTTTATCATGTATAGGCAAATAAATAGGTTTTATGTAATAATTTTTTATAGCATTTTTTATAAGTATTTCGAAATCAAAGAGAATATCTCATTATTTTTCTGCGATCATCTATTTTGAATAATCTTTCTAGCAAGAATAAAACTGACAAATTTTATTTTTCGAATTATTCACAAAAAGCTTTAATAATATAGAATGGAATTTTCCAATAGAATGGAAACACAAATTTATAAGAGCATATCTCAATCGATATGCTACACGCTTTTTTCATATTATATTATATATTGCTTATATATTAAGATATATATAAAAAGATATTATTTTTTTATATTATATTATATTTCTTAAAAAATTTATATAATATTTTTCATTGAATTGAAATCTATGAAGAAAGACTATAATCATACAATATTTAATATATTCAAGCATTTTGATTCAATTATTATTTATTAAATTTTATCATTATTATTATTTGTTAAATATTATCATTAAATATGTTAAGTTTAAAAAAAATTCACAATTTCAGAATTCACAATATTTTACATATTATTTGAAAATAGTTGATTAACTATTGAAAAATGATCTATATATCAATCTTGTAGCAATCATTTAGCGTATCGCGAAATATTTCTTGAAATTTTTTTTTAGAGCAGCGTTTAGTGTAAATTTTAAAATTCTAAAAGTCACTTGTAAATACTCATTTTAAAAATAAGAATTTTATTAAAAAAATTATTTTGTAAATATATAATTTACAAAAAAAATATTATGCAAAAAAATATCTCATAAAGAAAAGGATTTTATAAACAAGCATTCTGTAAATAAAATGAACTTAAATAAGCATGAAGCTTTAAAAAAGATACTTTTATGATTTAAAATATTTTTGAGTTTTTTATTTTTCGTGATGAATATTATATAAAAAATAGTCATGTTCAAAATCAATTTCAATCACTTTTTTTAATAGATCGATAAAGTGATTAATGATTAAAGACAAAATAACAATAACGATATAAAAACATATAAAACAAATAATTTTTGGTAAACAAATCAAAATAAATTTTGATATAAAATTGCTCTATTAATGTAGATCTTACCTCATCTCTAATGGAATTATCCAAGTAGCAAATATCTAGTTCTCGAAGTAAATGTGCTGTTACTTCTACCTATAAAATTCTAACATTACATTTTATCTTTCATATTAATTCTTTTATAATATAAAAAATATAATCTTACCTCCTGATAGAAATTAGTACAGTGAAAATTTACAAAAATAATTTTTAAAGAATGTAGAATAACCCATATTAAAGATCGTATAATTTTTTTATCATACAACATTTCTGATAAATTTAATGATATTAAATAAAAATATATGTTATAAAGTATACACAATAGTAATGAAAATTGTACTATTAAGTCTAATAGAATTTGATAAGCATATGCTTGATTAAGTTTACGTGAAAGTATAAGGATCTCAAAATGAATATACCTTAAAAAAATAAAAAGAAATAGATTAATAGAAAATAAAATAATAATAATATTATCATTTTTATCAAAAGGAAATAGTCTTAGGAATAGTCTTAAATATACTATAAAAAAGATAAGTAATTTAAAAATTGAAATAATGAAATTTTTCTTTTAAAAAATAGACATAAGATCTTTTCGACTTATTATAAATAGAATAAAAAAAACATTTCTTAAATAAGTTTGAAAAAAAAGAACATCAATACAATAAAATCTTTATATAATTAAAGAATGATAGTATATAATACTATTACATTACAATTGTTTCTTAATATATATGTTTCATACATTAAAAATGTCCTAAATTATTCACTGTCTATCAGATTTTCCATACTAAATTATATAATATTACAAAATTGTAGAATTTTATGCACTGAAATTATCATACCTTGTAACTTGAAGAACATATTGAACAAAATCTCTATTATAAAAGTCCATTACAATTATGAATTTATATGGAATATGTGATTGCATATTATACTTTGTATTAATTTCGTTTGTACTTGATAGTTGATATAATTTTTTCATAATCTTGTTCATTTTTTGTAATTTATCTTCTAAAATTCTTTAAAAAATTTAATAGAATAATATTGAAATAAATACAATATTGTAAATAATATTTTAATTATAAACTTATCTATATTTTTATTTTCACAAGAATAAAAAATAAAGATTAAAAAAGTTCTATTTATTTTTATAATATAATATGCAAGAAAAATGAGAAAAAGAAATGAAGAAACAAAAATATTTTTCTTATAAATATGAAAAAAGAGAATATTCTTTTCTAAAATTGCATTTGTGAAAAAATATAACAGTGTAATTTTAATCCTTATATTCAAGAAATTTTTCTTTATTTTTGATTATTTATGAACAAGAGACTATAAATTAGACTATATAAATAAGACTATAGTCTAGTAATTTAGATTAATAATTTGATCTAAATTATCTTTTCGCTTTCGTTCCGATTTTCTCATATTTCTTTTAATCTTAATAAATTCTATATCATGACAACATGATAAAATTGAATGCAATAAAATTTTATTTTGATTAAAGATAATTCAGAGGTTTTTTTATTTCAAAATTTTTTTTATAATTATTAATAACTGTAATTATACAAGTCATCGTTGGTTTTCACTAATTGAATGAACATTTCAACTAACAATAATAAAAATTTATCATCTTAAAATTTTATCTAATTTTTCAATATATATAAAATTAAAAAAAATATTAATAATTTATCATTAGGAGTATATATATATATGAGACATAGAATTTCTTTGTCCTTAGATGATGTTGCGAATTGTCCGCGATATTGTTGGTTGTTGGCATGTTCCACCAAAAAGCTGTGACTTTCCTAATTAGCTAGAGATTCAATTACTTAACTTCACTTCAACTTAACTTAACTTCACACAAATAGAATC